CATGTCGCTTTTAACAGGCCGTTGGGTTGAAATCTACTGTTTCCTTCCAGCAACCTGCTTCTGCGTCTAATTATAGCGAGGACCCCCTGGGGTCTACACTGTACTTCTGAGTTGGGATGTCTGGCAATTGAGCCGGGTTGAACTGGCACAAAATAAAGAGCCGATCACGTGACTGGTAGAAATATTAGATTCCCACTGAGAATTTATCTCCATTTCAGGCTTCAGCACAGTCGCTGCCTGGCAGCTCCAGCGTGGGTTTGTTGACTCATGTATGGGGTAACTTCAAAAGGGCCCTGCAGACCCAGGGAAACAATGCGCTCTTTGCAGTGCGCGGTCAAGCTGTAAGAACTGGACACTCACGGCATCACCGCACCGCTGCTTTCACTGTCTGATAGGAAACTTCAACCGCAAGAAAAAGAAGGGAAAAATAAACCCCCTGCTCTTTGATCTCTCCCAGGCATTGGTTAGTGGGTGAGATGTGCCAGGCATTTGGGAGAGAAGAAGTAAGCTTTGCTGCTTGCTTTAGCAACAGTACGTCCAACGATGACTTCTCTTCTGTTTCAATGCCACGTTGTGCAATGCTCTCCATGCTCCCAGCTCCAAGCTGGCCTCCGAGCTTGTGTGTACACCAGGCTGGGCGATTAGAAGATGGCTTGGCTTTCACTTGGGTATTCTCCTGGCCAGGGCTAGATGGCTGGTTGCTCACGTCTCATTTGCAGAACACGATGGCTTATGTTTGCAAAATTTGCAAACCACCTTTGTTTGGGCAAAGGATGGGGTTGGGAACTCCTGGGGCTGGCTAGGAAATCTGGCCCCTAACGTCTTTCATGGTTTTGCATCCACATCCTGCCTGCTGTTTGTTATCACGGCTGGGCCAGCAGCCTGGCTCAGTGCAGGTCCAGGACTAGGTTGCCCTCTCACAACCATGGTTCAAGCTACCAGCGGACAGCCTGGAGCTGGGATTCACACGGTCAGAGGTGGGGCTGTCAATGCACAGGATATCACCGGGGCCAAGGATGCATAGAGACAAGGAAATCGTGTTCAGTCACCTTACTGACAGCCCTGCATGGGGAGCCTTGATGCTGAGCAGAAGCAGTAAATCTGTATCCAGATGCCTCCAGTAAGCAGAGGCAGAGTGAGCCCTTGCTCTTCAAGCTCTGTTTTTGATGCTGTGAGCACCTTCCCTGACACCCAGCCCGGACCCTTTGGTGGTCACAGTGCCAGATACTCGCAGCAAGAAATAAGGTTGGCACCCCAAAGAGCCTAACCTCACTGTGACTTGAACCTCCAGTCCCAGGACCTGAACCCAAGACGGTCTCCACCAACGATCTCATTCACCGCCTCTCCCAGCCACAGGATGGGTTCTGTTGACTTCAAGAGATGCGTCTTAACAAAACTATTCCCTTGCCATTAAAACAAAACTAGTCCCTACCAAGGATGAGGCGGTGCTTCTGCTGGGTTCACCAGACTCGGTGTCTGAGACCCGGCCCAGCTGAGTGCCGCGCACCCCCTTGCAGGCCCCAGGTGCTCAGCCCTGCACAGAGTCAGGCCCAAGGGCTCCAGAGCCAGATCTGTAGCTACCCAACTCCTCAGTTGCAGCAGCAGATTATTCTCAGATGCCGGCGCGCGCTGTGGAGCTCCTCCTCTTTCCCGAACAGACTGACACTGCAGTTTTCAAGGGAAAGGTTGTTTCAAGCCCATCTAGCAACCCCAAGCCATCAGGGTCTCATTTCTTGGTTCACTCCTTGCTCTCCTGCCAAGCAGTTATTATAATGCACTCATGTCTGGGCTCACACCAGGCTTTTCCCTTGCCGGAGGGATGTCACGCTCAATGAAATACTCCTGATGAAGTGTTTTCTCCCTTTGAAAGCCACTGCGGGTGCTGGAGTGGGGGGAGTAGAAAGGCAGCAAAACAGCTGGAAAGGCATCCAGATGGTCCTTCTCTTCCTTGCCACACTTAAAGGCAGTTCAAGGTTGTGGTGATCAGCAAATTCCTATCTGGAAAGTGAAAGGGGAAAGGACAGGGCCAGGGCAGGTCCTCAGTTGGTGACAGTCAGTAGCTCCACACCATGAGATCGATAGCTCTAGACCAGTTGCACCACTCAGGGGTCAAGCCCATCTGAGCTGGGGGGGGACCAATGGTGTAGCCAGGCCTTGGGCAGGGCTCACACTTGGGTCTTCTGCAGGGCTGCCCCGTTCCCAGCAACGCTGCTAAGAGCTGGCAGCTGATGGCATGCAGCTGTGGCTCCAGTCCCAGCTCCCTGGGGGTCTTCTCCTTCATTGCTCATTTTCCTGGAGTTACAAGGATAAGGTCCTAGATAGGCAAGGCATGGAGCAATGGAGGCAAAAAGGGGCAGGCAGTGAGACGTCCCTTTTCCTCCAGCACGCCAACCGCAATGAGGGTAGAGCCCCAGGAAGCAGCCACTGCAGCCTAGTGCATCTCCCGGCCTGGGAGCTGTGGGCACACTGGAGGAGGGGTATGACCTGGGGAGAGGGTCATGACATCCCTCCGGGGCTGCTGCCTGGGTAGCATAGCCAGGCACTGCTGGGCTGGACTCTAAGTGATGACCAGGGATCCTGTTTTTTCTCTGATTTTAAAAAATCCCCAATTTTCGGCTTACAAAAAGTAACCCCAAATCCACATTTTCCCATGATTACAATGAAATAACACTATATATCTATCTATATATTAGTGGCCTTTCATTTAAATCATGGAAAAATGTGGTTTTGGGGTTACTTTTTTAACCAAAAATTGGGGATTTTTTTTAAATCAGAGAATCCCTGGTGATGACCTAGCCAGGGCAAGCAATCACTGTGTCTTTGTGCCTTTGGAAAGCTGCCCCTGTGTTTTCGGGTGCAATGAGGTGCCATGTGTTCAAAGAGCAATCGTAGACTCATAGAAAATGAGGGTGGGAAGGGGCCTCAGGAGGTCACGTCTAGTCCAACCCCCTGCTCCAAGCAGGACCAGCCCCAACTACATCATCCCAGCCAAGGTTTGTCAAGCTGGGTCTTCAAAGCCTCTAAAGTTGGAGATCCCGCCTTCCCTCCAGGTAATCTGTTCCAGTGCTTCACCACCCTCCTAGTGAGAGAGTTTTTCCTAATATCCAACCTCAACTTCCCTAGCTGCAGCCTGAGCCCATTTCGCCTTGTCCTGTCATCTGCCCCCACCGAGAACAGCCCAGCTCCATCCTCTTTGCAACCCCCCTGCAGGGAGGTGAAGGCTGCTCTTCAATCCCCCATGCTATTAAATCTCAGCGACCCCCTGTGACCTGAAAACTGCTCTCATACTGGTGACAAGCAAAGCAGCGTCTCTAGGGCCCCTGTCTGCTGCAGCAAAGGGAGGCTCCGTCCTTGCTACAGCCGCAGATGTGCTGCCCTTTTCGACTACCCAGACTTCAAGGCAAAGAGAAAACCACTGTGATGGATATGAGGTGTCCAAGCTGAGAACAACAGCCTCCTGCATCCATTCCACACCATGTCCAGTATGTTTCTGTGGAGTACGATACAGGGTGTTTCCCTGTGACATAAGGATGTGTGATGCAGAAAGTTTCCTTCAAATCCAAAGTGCATTGGCAAGTTGGGTTAATACTCCACGAGGTAATGAAATGCACACGAAAAGGCAATCAAAGCCTTGCATGGCTCATCACCCGGCCAGCGAGTTCAGAGCAGCCAGCCAGTGCTTGCTGGTTGGGGTGGGAATGAGGATAGAAGGCTGCACTTGATAAAGGAAATCCATGTCTTTGATACTGTGCTCCCCTTCCAGCCAGGGAAGGAATAACCCTGGTCCTGGTGCCATCCATGGCAAAACACCCAGCAACTTCACCCAAGCCAGGATTGCACTCTCTGCATTTGGTCCAGCCTCCCCGTCTCGATCCAGAGTGCAGCCAGACATGTGAACACATTAACATTCCCAGGGCACCTCAGCCAGCGTGATACTGGACTCCAGTGGGTGCTGCTTTCTGCATCTCTCGCTCCAAGACCAGCACCTCGGAAGATTTTGGGGTGTGCAACATTTATTCTGCTTGTCTTTACGCTGCCCTCTGTACCATCCTGTGCACTGAGAGCTGGGCAAGCCCATGGGAATGCGCAGGTTGTGGAAGGCGCTTGTAATAGGACGACCTGTCCCATTAAGAGGAAACAGTCAGTCCTGTTGAGAGAGCCCAGTTGCAGGGCATTTGGATACTGAGAGAGCTTAAAACCTGGTTGGAGAGAGTGGAAGAGGCAGGCAAGCTGTGGGCTGAGGAGCCAGGCTATTGTGCTGGGAAGGGGTTCCCCTCCCTGAGTCCAGGGCAGGACAGCAGGATTTTATTTTGCTTTTGTTGGTTTAAAAGCTTCTGTTTGATTTGGGAGGCTGCTCAAAAGACCAGACACAGCTGCTCCCCATTGCACCAGCCATGACCATGACCTTCCAGTCCCTAGGAGACCTGTACTGCATTCTGTTCACACGCCCATGATCTTCCAATTAAACCTGCTGCTGCCAGAAGTCAGGGCCTTCCTTCCAGCACAGGCAGAAGGAGCCAGCCTTTGCTCCCTTTAGCCAAGCACTTGCCGTTCCCTTTTCCAAGCCCCTAAAATGCAGCAAAATGAAAACCTCAGCTGCACCCCAAGAACGACAACCACATGAAACCAAATGATGAAGCACGTGTCACAGAAGGGCCCACGTCCTCAATGCAGTAGGGGTCACTATGCATGGGTCAGGGTGAAGCCCTTCTCTAGCACAGTTTCCGTCCAACAGATCCTACCCAAGCAAAAATGATCCTATTTCCCCATTTTGATTCTACACAAGTGCTTGGCCTTCCTTTCCTCGCAAATCGTTGCTGAGACAGCCAAGCCAGCCCACCCTCACCCCTGGGGCAGTGGGCAAGAAGAAATTAGGTGCACAGTGTTTTCAGGGACACCCTTGGGCACCCAGATCTCCCGCCCACATGAGCCATAACATAAGGTTGTGGCATTAGCACAGATGTGGAAGGAAGCTTGAAAGAGAGAGGGTATGGACTTACTCAAGGAACCGTGTGATGTATTCCCTGCTGCAGCGCGACCAAGTGAGTGGAGAGGTGTCATACAGGAGCTGTGGAGACATGACGAAAGGTCTTTTCCCAACTGGCTCACAGTCATTGCCGCTTCCATCATGCTGAATCCCAAAACTGTGTAAGAGCACAGTCCCACAAAGGAGAGGTGAGCCGTACGCCTGCTGCAGCCACCCCTAGCAGATGTACCACCACCCCCAGCCCTGTGATGCTGCACAGCAGTTCAGGAGACCCCCCAGGCTAAGCTGCTGCTTTCTGAGCTTGAAGCTGGAGCTGATGCCTTGGGCAGTGTAGCTTATGCAGGAGGGCTGAAGACCTGAGTTCAGCCCCTGACCCACTCCCCATGGGGAAGCTGACTTCTCTGCTTCCCCATGCAGACTCACTGCAGAGGCAAGAAGCTTGGGGACACCCCCTCTCGCTGGGGGCAGGGTTGGGACCTCTGTGCAGTACCATGATACAGGTGACTAGTCCACGGTCAGTGCACGGAGGGCAGCGGGCACCTGGGGGATGTGACAGCCTTCTCCTAGTGCACTTTGCACCAACTTCACCCACATTTCAGGGTGGAGCAGAGCGCTGGGGCAGGGGCTGAGCCATGTCGCGTGTTTGCAGGAAGGAGCCCCGCAGAGCACTGGCTGTGAGCGGTGCTGAGGGCCTAGGTTACTAATCAACGTAGCCTCTTCGGCTAGAAAAATCTCTGTGAACAGCTCAATTTTTGTTGTAATTTAAAATTTGGCAGATTGACATGTGGTGTCTTTAACCCCAAAGTTTTTTTGCAATGAGTCCTGATACTCTCTAGAGTGGAGTTGTCTGGTTACGATTCAGTTGGTCACACAGTGTTGATTCTGTCCCTGGCCTGGGCAGGCCTACTATGTCCTGGAGAGTGCATTCAGCCTCCCAGCTCGCTTTCTGTGAACAGTAGTGCCAGTGAAACGCACTACTTTGATCCCACAAAGTGAATGCAAGCAGGGCCTGAGCCCAGCCGATGGGAAGTCACATATAAATTTGAGATGATGCTGCCTCGCCAGTATTTTTTACCCAGCGTTGCCTGGGTCCTGTAGCAAGAAGCCAAGTCAATAGTGGCAAGGCTGCAAGCACCCAAACAGAGCGGGGTCCCAAGGGCTGGCATGCACTTAAAGGTGGCTGTCTGAGTGACTGTCCAGCCTCCATGGACACAAGAGAGGCCACAGTAACATATCCTCAGGCATCCACCAAGTGATTTAGGAGCCTGAGTTTTTTAGCTACTGTTGCAAATTGTGCCCACAAACAATGAAGATATTAGCACCAAGATCTGCTTGTGATGATATCAAGAGCAGGGAAGAGGACGGCTCCATTGTACTCTATGTCCCATGGACACAGAGGCTTGCTTCTCCCCTCAGTTATGCTGGTATAAATCAGGAGGATTTCCACTGGATTCAGCTGAATTACTCTGGCCCCCATCCTGGACAAGTGGATCAGACTGGGGCCTGGAGTGGAAGCTTGTCTGGCTAAGCCTGACTGCCTGGGCAGCCCGGTGGAAGTCAGAGGCAGTTTCTACCTTGGTTGCTACAAATAAATCTTTGCCTCATAGATTTCATAGACATTAGGGCTGTAAGGGACCTTGGAAGATCATCTAGTCCAGACCCCCGCGTCAAGCAATTGAGACTGCATGAGCCAGCTGGAGTGGGAAGAGTCACTATCTGACTCCTTCTCCCTACCTGTGGTTCATTGCTTGCTTTCCTAAATGCACAGACTCCTGGCTTAGCCTAGCCCTGATTGCTGCTTTCCCTCTCATAGAAATGCCTGTACTCAGAGGCATGTGTATTAGCTCCTTTTGGGTGCATCTACATGTTCATTAATGCACTTTTGCTAATCCGCATTAAATTTAGTACCTCCATTGTGAGGTACTAGAAAAAGGTGCATTAGCAAAAGTGCACTTTTTGTGATGCTTTAAGACGCATTAAAATAGGCTAATGCGCATTAAAACACATGTGTAGACTTGTCCAATGTGTACCAAGAAGGGACTCTGCAGGGTCTTGTTCCAAAGGGGAACACAGAAGATGAACTTCAGAAAGCAAGACCAGGGGCTTGAGCCAAGTTTCTGAAGCCAACATTTAATTCAGGAGATCAGTGAAACAAGTTTAATGCAACTTGTCAGTGTATTGTGAGATGGCACTTTTCTTAAGGAACATTTCCATTCAAAAAAATGATGAAGAGTTTTATAATAGGCCTCCTTACTACAAACCCAAGTCAGGAAGAGATTGTGAGAATACTGGTTTCATTAAGTGTCAGAAAATGTATCCTTAACCAAAGCCAGGCAAGTACAACATACAAACGTTGCAAGGAACACTTAAAAATATGTGATGGTTTCCCAGACCTATGCTATTTAAAAGACCTTTCCAAAGGTCAATTGTACTAAACACACAGTGAAGTTCAGGAGGACAAACCCTATTTAATTTAATGGAATCTATTTAAACCAAAATCATTTCTAGGCATTTGTATTCATTTAAATAATTCACCCTTCGTATTCAAAACCTAGCTTGAATTGGGCCTGTTCATTTCCAGAGCCCATTCAGCTTCTGCAGAAATCAGTGCCGTTGAGTAGAAATGGACTCTTGGGAGCACATGGTTGTTTTTTAAACTTTGGTGCTAATAAAGTCAAACCAACTGCATGCCGTGAGCAAAATCTGCAGGGCAAAGTTAGATGTAGCTCCCACTGACCTTGGCTTTTTCCCCATGCCCAGTCCCACCTGCCCTTCTTAAAGCCGTGCAGTGCATCTTTCCCTGCCAGAGGTCCCAAAACAGACTAAAGCAGCCCACCGTACCTGTGTCCAAGTTCGTGTGCCACGGTGAAAGCCAGGGGCAGGCCTGTATCCTCATTGATATTGCAGCTTCGGTGGGGCTGGCACATTCCTGACACATGAGACAGACCCAGAGTCTCACACGGCCGGTTCATGGCTGCACAGATGTCTTTCCTTTTACATCCAGGAATGACAGACAAACACACACACACGTGCACACATACACACAGCAGATAGGTGGTTTAAATACACTGTCCTCCAAGGTGGGAAAGTTAACTAAGTGTTGAGATGATGGATTTGTCTGGGGTGGTTTGGACAGGCAGGGGTTGGACTAGGAGGTCCCATCCAGCCCCATGGCTCTAGGAGTCCATGAAAATAGAACTGAGCAAAACAAGGCTCTGCACATTATGAAGCTGGGCCAGCCACCAGATCACAAGGGAGAGCCTAACCAGTGGAAACCACATGGGATTTGCATTACGGAGGAAGGAGTGAAGCTCTCCACACACAGGAGGGGCTCTGTTTCAGCTCAGCAGAGTGGAAACCCCTTGCTGCATAGAGGCTGCATGCAACAGGGACGCTGTACCCGGCAGCTCCCGGGGTGCTCGTATTCCCTGGTGTGACATATCATAACATTGGCCCAGAGGTCACACGTACGTAAACAGTGCAAACGCATTGTCACTGGCTAAACAGTGGCAAAGAACAGCTATGTCCAGCGGACAGATTTTTTCTGTTTACTCTCCTAGTGGTCCAGCTAATGAAAGAGCCTGATTAATTAAAAATCCGCAGTCTACATTAGTTCCATCTTCTAAATACAGCTGAGGCTGGAAATAATAAATCAATGAGTGGCCAGTGCATGTCTCAGGGGATTACTACAGCCCCAGGTGTGCTGCCTTCGAAGCAGAGCCACTTCAGCCACCCAGGAAGAACAGTAACACCCCGGGATTGCACAGCTGAGAGCATCTGATTTCTGTTACCGAGCCAATGCCCTGGAGAAGAGGAGGGTGTTGGAGGAGATGCCATGCCTAGGAGTTTACTGGGCATTATTGCAGTCGCTTGACTACTGCCAGTGACCGGAGTGCAGTGGCTCAAAGCCATTGGACTGACTGCCTCGGCTGGGATTTTCAAAGTCGCCAAAAGGAATCTAGTGGCCCAAACCCTTGCAGCTTTGCTAGGAGTGAGGCCCCTTCCCTGAGGCCCCTTTGCAGACCCCCACCTTTGTTCTTAAGGAAAAATAACAAGTGCAGCACAAAGACAAGTGCAAAGTGCTGCACCTGGGCAAAATGACCCACCAACACACCTCCAGGCTGGGGGATGACCTTCGCAGCAGCACAGCAGCGGAAAGGGATCTTGGAGTCATAGTGGACTCTGAGATGAACACGAGTCGTCAATGTGACGGAGTGATCAGCAAAGCTAACCGCACTTTATCATGCATTAGAAGATGCATGACAAACAGGTCCAGGGAGGCGATACTTCCTCTCTATGCGGCAGTGGTCAGACCGCAGCTGGAGTACTGCATCCAGTTTTGGGCCCCGCACTTCAAGACGGATGTGGACAATCTCGAGAGGGTTCAGAGGAGGCCACTCATCTGGTCAGAGGCCTGGAGGCAAGGCCCTACAAGGACAGACTGAAAGGCCTGGATCTCTTCAGCCTCTGCAAGAGAAGGCTGAGAGGTGATCTTATGGCTGCCTACAAATTCATGGTGGGGGGCAGCAGGGAATAGGAGCTGCTCTATTTACTAGGGCACCCCCTGGAGTAACTAGGAACAAAGTCAATGAATTGATGGAGAGCAGATTTAGGTTGGACATTAGAAGGAACTTCTTCACGGTAAGGGTTGCCAGAATCTGGAATGGGCTCCAAGGGAGGTGGTGATCTCCCCTACCCTGGGGGTCTTCAAGAGGAGACTGGACAAGCACCTGGCTGGATTGTCTGACCCCAGCGCTCTTTCCTGCCCAGGGCAGGGGGTCAGACTCAACGACCTACTGAGGTCCCTTCTGACCCAAACATCTCTGAATCTATGAAAGTGAGCATCCTTTCAAGATGGGGCTATCCTGCGGGGTTGGCATTGGGGCTGTGCTGAAACCTGGCACCTGGACACCATAGCACTTGAATAGATACAGACCTGAGCTCTGAGCCCAGCTCCAGCCATTAATGAGCTTGCCCCAAACCATCATGGTGCATTTCCAGCTGCCCCCAGAGCTGTCCACACAAGACCCAGCTAAGGAAAATGCATGGCAAATAGCCCCGCAGGGGACCTAGCAAGTGCCCTGTCCTGCCGTTTCCAGCACCTCTCTGACTCAGCAGAGAAGGGGCCCAAGTGCCACACACCTCGTAAGCAGGACGGCCACGTCGTGATGCTGTGGGTGGGAGTCTCCTTTCACATTGATGCTTTTCTGCCACTTGCAAAAGCTTCTCAGGGTGTTGTCAGCGTGGTGGGTGATTTTCAGCTCCTCCTGCCAACAGCAACAAACACAAGGCTGCTGTCAGACTGTCACCCCTTTTGTCACTTGTAGGAGTGCTGGGGCCAGATTCTGCTCTCCATCACACCAGGGTAAGATCAAGAACAACCCCTCTTCCCCTTGTCTAGATTACTCCAGATTCACACTGCACAGTTGGGGCCGGATCTGGCATCTTTTCTCCTTCCACTGGATCTGGGATCAGGCTGCAGCATTGAATAGTTTAATAATGCAAGTTAAAGTGATGGTGGGAAAACTGTTTTGCTCAGGCTGATGAGCCCATGACCAGGACACAGCTGGGGGAACCAGATCAATCAGCTGAGCAGTTTCAGCTTAGCGGAGAATGAGAACTGCAGCTGGGGAACACAAACAACCAGACAGTCACATTCGCCCACCACTGCTTCTTGCTAGGTTGGTCCCGGGAGACCTACCCAGTGCTGGAAACCAGAGTCAGAAGAGAAGAACATCTTCTGGCTCCACCCTGATTCCCAGCCGCAGCGGGGCCATCGCTGCTCATTTTAAAGGAAATGCTGCCAAGAGCCAAACCACATGTCCAGATGCCAGTAGCAATGGGGTAGTTCCCATTGGCTGCTGGATGGGGCAGGCATGGGTTGCATTTTGCTGGGAAACCTCTATATAGACTCGTAGAAAATGAGGGTGAGAAGGGAGCTCAGGAGGTCACATCTAGTCCCCCCCCCAGCTCCAAGCAGGACCAGCCCCAACTACATCATCTCAGCCATGGCTTGGTCTACCCAGGTCTTAAACACCTCCAAGGATGGAGAGTCTGCAACCTCTCAGAAACACTGGAACAGGTTATAGGTAATCTGTTCCAGTGTTTTACTACCCTCCTAGTGAGAGAGTTTTTCCTAAAATCTAACCTCAACTTCCCTTGCTGCAGCTGGAGCCCATTGCTCCTTCTGTCATCTGCCCCCAGCTCCATCCTCTTTGCAGCCCCCCTGCAGGGAGTTGAAGGCTGCTATTCAATCCCCCCTCGGTCTTCTCTTCCGCAGACTAAATCAGCCCATTTCCCTCAGCCTCTCCTCCCCAGTCGTGTCCCCCAACCCGCACAACCATTTTCATTGCCCTCCACTGGACTCTCTCCAATGTGTCCAAATGAGGGGAAAGGGATAATGCCTGGTCGTGAGTGACCAGCTCGCAGTCTCCCATAGGAAAAAGAAGTCAAAACACCCAGGCACAAAAAGACCAGAAATGTCAATCGCTCTGTTTTCTTTTTACCTCGTCATCTTCCAGCAGGATTAGCCGCACAATGGCAATGTTGATAGGGTTTCCGATGCTGGCATCGTGGAATATACCTGCCACCTGCAAAACACCAAGCACACAAGGGCTCAGAGACAGCAGTCGCCCTGCTGGCAGTATTCTGGGGAAGTGCCTCCGGGAGAGAACTGGGGTCCAGAAGGACAGTGCCGAGCACTGCCGGCTCCAAATCAGAAGTTCCTCAAAATTAAGGATGAGATTGATTCCCGGTCTAGATCAGGGCCAAATGATTACACAAGTGTTTTCGCTCCACTGAAGTCTCAACCTGGGTGACGTGTTGAACTCAACCAAGCGTGTGCCTGGGATCAAGTCTCTGCCTTCACCAGGGGGGATGCCTTGTTGGACTTGGTGTTGGCCACGGGCGACGACCTGGTGAGGGGGCTGCGAGTGCTTGACCCCCTGAGCGACAGTGACCACTGCCTGCTAGAATTCACCATTCAGCGCAAGGTGGCAAAGG